TAAGCTAGAGGATACTCCTACTCCATCTTTATTAAAATCAATGCCAACTACTGTACTAAAAAGTGCCCATCTTACAATTTGGACAGTTTAACTATAAGCATCTAGATAAAACAAACTCCCTTGTACTGGTTAGTCTATGCTATGAGTTACCATTTTTATAGCTCTTTAGTTGGCTAATTGACTTAAGTTTGAGAAAAATTGTGATTGTGGCATCGGAAATTAGGTATTTGGCAAAACCAGTAAACCCTTCTTGGAATCCACAGCTGTTAATTTCGCCACTTCTCCTTGGACAGGTTTCTGTATAAGGCACAACCTGTGACATGATTTCCAACACACCTGACTATCCACCATCTGGTGTAAACTTGAAATACACTTTTTAAGTTCATCTCATCTAAGTGGTAAACATTTTCTTGTATAGGGTCAACCGGGGCTAATATGAACAAAAAAAGTAAACTTTTGACATTAACTCAAAAATGGTAAATGACAGAAGAAAAGAAAAAATAGTAGTGTATACAGCTCTTTTAGCTGAATCTATTTATTTACTAACAAAAACCATAAATGTGACCATTATTAAAAAAAAAATTAAAAACCACTGTTCACATTAGCCCCGCTAAAAGGGGCTAATGTGAACAGCCCATGGGGCTAATGTGAACACTCTTAATAACTCTGTTATTTACAACACTAGGCATATGTGGGGGCTGTTGTGAACAAGCCTAGGGTCTAGTCTACCAGTTGCAATAAGTCTCAATATTTTATCTTAAATAGTTTTTGAGATATGAAGGTATCTTTGGAGAGCCGCGGGTCGCCCTACGGTAACCCTTTTTTTTAAAACCATTTATAAATATTATACAGGGCTAATAATAAGATATAAACAAGAAAAAAATTATCTGTCAACATACCTGAGTATTTATTAAAAATTTCTTCCACATACAAATTGTTTTTTTTAAAGCACTTAAAAAAACAATAATTTAAGACAATGCAAATTGTTCGTTTAGGCAAATGACAGTTTATTGCACTTTTAGGCCTATTAGGTAAATATAAAACTGTGGGCTAGGCCTATTCAACACCTTAACTGTTGTCTTTGTAAAATTAAAACTGTTTTATCACTGTAAGGCCTTCAAAGAAGTTTATTGAGGAACTTACGCCTCAAAAACTTCGACAATTTTGTCGAAGACATACTTATGTCTATCACTGGTTCCACATACATTAGGGGCTGGAAGTTTCCCCAAAATGTCAGTGGTAGAAACAATAAATATATCATCTTCTTTTTTCAGGAATGATTTTTTTTCCTCATCACAGGATTTAAATCCCATCACTTCGATATATGTATATATATATATATATATATGTATATATATATGTATATATATATGTATATATTGTTGTTCACAATAGCCCCCATTCACTGTTCACATTAGCCCCCCAACTTTGAAAGCTTATAACTTTGGCTGTTATTAATATATTTTAACTTTGGGAAAAGAAAAATAATCCCCAATTCTTATTTAACAAAATTCAGGCTTAAGATTATTCCTACAACCAATGTAAAAATTGTTATAACAAAAGTGTTTTAACAAAGTATTTTTTTAAAGTACCTAAAAGTCAAATTTGAAGTTTTCTCATTATGGACACAAATAATACAATAAATTTCCTTTCTAATTATATTTTTTTCATGATTAAAAATCCCAGATAAATGACTTTTTAAGTCATTGTTCATATTAGCCCCAATATTTTGGTGTGTTCATATTAGCCCCGGTTGACCCTACTTTTAAGTTTTTATTGATGAAATTGATATCACCTTTGACTATATAACCACAACTATAGGTTGTGGTTATATAGTCAATGCTATACACCACTTGAAGATCATCGATTTGAGACTCAAAAATACACCTAAAATGGCACTTGACATCAAATTTCCAATAGAAAATAACATTGAGAATGTTTTTTGGTGAACAATTTGAAAAAGTTATGTTGAAGTAATGGAGATTAAAATTTCCTAAAGCAAAAAAGTCCAAAAAATGTTCATTGTTTTCAAAGACTTTTTAAAATAATCTTTAAGTATTTGCAGTCAAAGCTAAACTTCATCAACTAATAACTAGACTTATCTCTCTGCAATTTCTATTAATAAATTTTAATTGTTAAATTTTCAAGCACTAATATTGGCACATTAGATAAATTTATGAGCATTTGTAGTAAAACTAAGTGGTAAACCCTTACTTACATCAGATAAGATAACTATTAGTTAAACATTTTAAACTGAAAAAGGAAGGAGTGAAAACTCAAAAGTGATGGTAATAATGGTTTATTTCATCATATAAACATATCTTTGAAAACGCAATTGAAAATATTGAAATCTTAGTCATAATGGATCACATACTTTGTTATGATTGCAACACACTGTCAACTAACTGGATATAGCCTATAGTATAAAAATAGAAAGGGGCTCAGTTAGCATACATATAAACACACTTCAGTATAAAATGTATAGCAGATCAAAAATACACAAGGCACGACATTATTATAGTGTATAAGAGACGCATAGCGATTGTATAGTCTCTGTAAAAGAACACCTATGATTTAAGAACTCAAACTAATTATGATCAAAAGAAATTTTAGATTATTGCTCTACATTTACAATATGGCAAATAAATGGTATTCAAAGACAATTGCACATGAAATAACATTATAGTATGGCTCTATGGTATGACAACCTGATTGAACGTCATAAAAATAATAACTGGATAACTATATCTTTAGTGTACAATAGTTAAAAAACATATAATTGTAACAAATATATTAAATGATCTATCCATAAGCTTTGAGATTTTAAAATGTTTTTAAAGTTTTTCTAATGAATTGCATGATTACATCAACTTTAGTTTTATAAATCTGCAATAATACTCATTTGGAGCAAATCTTACATAGGAATGTGCAAACTTACAAGCTATATTCTATCCTAATTTCCTAATTTAATCACAGTCATAATCTAAAAGGTACAAATTAGACCACAAGAACGCTGAGGTTGACACTTAAAGAATTATTTTTGGATGGATGTAGTGCCTACAAAAGTATATCTATTGAACTTTGAAATTAAAAAAAGGGCACGGAGATAACAGTACCCTAGGCTAAAGTTTAACACCAGCAAATATTTTTTTATTACATTCCCTCGGTAATCATTTGAAATATAGGCTATAGCCTATATTTTTAATTTGTATGATAAGTGTGCCAAATGAAACATTTCATAATTGTTTAGCAAAAAACGATCCTTGTGATTTTAATTATGCCTTTATAGATTTACAAATTAAACTAAGTATACTTAAAACAATAATTATTGCATGAAGTGGACTTTTTAAAGCAAAACAATTTAAAACTAAAACATTCAACACAACAAAGAAGTTTACTGGCACGATTGATTTGCAGTAAACTCTAATTGAAAACCGAAGCTAATTGGTAGACAAAATTACGTCATGAACATATGTTATTTAATAAACTGTAAATAGCAGAAAATAATAGTTTCTTAGTCAGGCTTCTTTCAAAATAATTTCTTATTACAGTACAAAATTGAGAATAGCCTATAAACACAGTTTAAAAATTTGATATTTATCGAACACAAACAGGACCGAATGTTCCAGTCCCAGTCGAACTGACTCGGGATGATCGTCAAAAGGTATGTGCTATGCTCATGACTGATTGATTGCTTAGTTGAATAATTGTGAATTAATTGGAGCAAAAAATCTGATAGGCCTAAATCGTTATGAAAATGGATTAAAAGTGTAAAAGTAAACACAATGGTAACAAATAATATAACAAGCACTGCCTAATAATTTAGAGTGACAAAGCCTAAATTATTGTATAAACTCGGGCCTAGTGATCAGGGAGCGACAAGAAAAGTGACTTAGCGAGCATCATTTGATGAAGTTGCAAGCCCTAGGAGTAATTCAAAATGCTACGTACAGCAACCGGAGAATAAGACGAAGTAGAATCGCCCATTATTCTCTTATTGCTGGACGTACCACCTGAAATCAGCTGATTTGTATAGAGCACAAGATGAGTTTGTTAGATAAACTCGGTTATAGGAGCGAGTTAACGGAATGTACCACGTTATTCATTTAACTGTTCCATGACAGATTATCAGGACATCAACAATTTTGGCTGGTAATCTGCCAAGAATCAGGTAGCGTGTTACTCAAATTTAATTTAGGCTAGACCTAAAATCTGTGTGTAAACTAAAAGGGTACGGTACCGTAGGTCTTGAGTTACAAGCTTCCGTAAATGTTTGTGCTGTATGAAGTAGCGAAGTAGCCTACGTAAACGTAATGTTAAGCGGAGTGTGTTTGAATAGAAATGGTAAAATTTAAGTGTGTTTTAGGTAAGTTCTGGAAACTGAAAAATAACCATTTAGAGATAAATTTACATGTTCAGTTCAGTAACCCTATACAGTAATCTAGGCTTTGTAAAAAAAACTGGGAACGGTATCACGTAATGCTTGCCTCACGAGTTTTGACTAGAAATAACAACAAAAACAGTTGAGGCCACATTTTCTAAACCTAACCTATAAATAGCCTCTGTTATACTGCTTACAACTATTGGTTAACTTAAAATTACTTTATACACAGCTCTATGACTCATAGAGGATTAATTGTGCCCCTGAATCAACCTTACTATCAATATAGTAGGCCTAACAATAAATCTTCAAGAACATTGAATTGCTCTCAACGGCTGGACAGATGGTCAAATAAAAGATTTTATCTTTATAGACAGAATTCCAATTTTCTGATTGATTCATAAGTTCCAACCTTGTGAAACATGAAATAGGCCTACGGTCATAAGCCTGAATGGAAATAGCCCAACTTACTTGTTTGATTTATAAAGTCCGAAACATATCTTTGAGCACATTAAATATTAAAAATTTTGTGGCACAGAAGGAAGATGACTTCAATATTGCTTGATTATATCTAGTATATAAATATATATACATAAAAAATATTAGCTTACAATCCACGGGTGCTAACAGGCAGAAAAATGCCCTGACGATAACACTATTTGGCAACCACTCTGTACATGCTCCAAGACTTGTTCTTTTAGCGAACAAACGTGTTCTTTGAGCTTAGCCACTACATTACTTAACTCACTGTTCTCCGTCTTCAACCCCCTGACCTTATCCTCAAGTCGAGCGATCCTCTCCAGCTTCCGTCGTCTGCACTTGGACGCTGCCACTCTGTTTCTCTCCCTCTTCCTCTCCAGTTTGTATCTCTCCTGGCTCTCCATGTCGATGGGTGACATCGGAGGTGTAGGTCCCAGTGGTACAGTCTGAGGTTCCTCCTTGACGGTGATGTTATCCCCGTTGGACAAGAGGCCGAAGCTAGGAGGGTACTGGGAGTCGAGGGTCATGTAGGTATTTCCCGAAGAACTGCTGCTGCTACTACTCCTGGGTAGATCGACATGTTGAATCGCTCCCTGACTGGAGTCGCTGTGGTGTTGGAGTTCGTGCAGGGCCTCTTCAAACCCTCTGGTAAACGCAGCCTGCTCCTCAGTGATAGGTTTGGGGAAGAGTCCCGGCGTGGGAGTAGGAAGTCCAGATTGACCCATTAGCATCTTCTCTATCTCGGGTGTGTTGATGTTGAGCTTCTTGTAGTCCGGTGACGACAACATGGGCGCCGGGGTGGACACAGGAACCAACTTCATCCTCTTGACGGGCTGGCCGCTGTTCGCGTTCAAGTCCAAAGTCATAGTTCTCTTCAGAACCTTAACGTTATCACCACAGTATCGCTGGCGCATGGTGTTTTCCTCGTAGAACGTAGGTTCCATCCTCGTCGCGTTACGAACCATTGGTAACACACTTACAACAGCACGAAGGCCACGCACATCACTGGTAAACAAACAATGTGAACTTGTACAGACGACGTGAAACACTTCTACACAAACAACACATCCGTTCAACAGCCGGCTCACAACCAGAGTGAACCCGCGGCTTGACAAACAAGGAAACAAGCCTTTATCTCGTGACTCACTGATTCTATTTCTGGCAACTACGTCACTTTCCGCCACTCCGATTGGCTGGCGATGACGACATTCAATATTCTACGAAGCAGTCGGCGCGCTCCTATTGGTCGCGGTGGTGCGCCCCGCACCCGCGCGCTGGTGGCGGAGAGGGGCATCGTTAGTGGCGGGTTTTCAAATATTGTTTTCTTTAAATTATTTCTCCCCAAATCTAACGCTTCATCTTCATTAATGTATGTTTAGTTTATGAATAAAACTTACAAATTAACGATTTTGTCCCCTTGTAGTCGTCGATTTTATGTTCGCATATCTAAGAAATCTATAAACAATGTAATTAATAAAAAAATGTGTGTTTATCTTCAAGAAAAAATGAGCGCTACGTTTTATCAAAAACCATTTTGTGTTATTCTGTTATATAAAAGTGTAAAAGTGTTTATTGCATTACTCTGCAATCCGTTCTATATTTTAGCCTACCATAGAATCCACAGAATAAACACTTATTTTGAGTTTTAAGTAATTGATCAGTTTATTCAAACTCTACATTCCGTACATCATTAAAAAGTTTCATTGTACGGTATTAAAATGTTTTCACCTCAACAGGTTTTTACATATGTGTGCAATATAACTGAAACCAAATACGTATCCACATAATTGTGTGAGAAATATATTTATTGATGACACCAAATTTATTATTACAACGTTTTTCAAGCAATCATTTATGATTAATTATTACAACAAAACAATACCTTTAAAAATTAGTTATATGATTTCGTGTTCAATATTTTCACCATACACCCAAATTTATATCGAACTACCAAGTAAATTTAACCCACTGAAAAAGACATGGTCTTTAAAGGATCATATAACAATTATTCACATTCAATAAGCTTAAACACCTAACCTAAACAAGTTTTGAATTGTAATAAAAATGCCCAATTGAGGGTAATTGCGAATGATTTCCCCATAATATGGATTCCGTGGATTTTATTTGCTCCTTCATTATTTCACCGCTCGCCTCACGACGTGAAGGCATGCAGATTGTGGAATTTGATGTGAAGGCGCCAGGCGCACGCAATCCAAGCATTAACCTTAGGAATTTATCGATGCATTCTTTGAACTTGTTAACATTGAATGATAAGGTGCTAAACATTATGCAATTATTTGAAATGTTAATTTTTATATTCACTGAAATTTATTCGAAGATTAATTTGGTTAAACATATTGCTCAGTAATTAATGGATTCTAGTATTTTTAAGCAATTGCTTTGACCTATCGTATCATTTTGTATTACTGACGAGTAAAGAAAGACCATAAAATATACCCTAAAAAAATGTGTATTGTAAATGTTTAAGTCAATACTTGCGCAATTACAAATTGAATAAACACTAAACATTTTGCAATAGGATGAGACACATTCAAAGTCAATGAGTCCTGTTTTGGTTGTTCTTCAGCTTATTCTCCACACATACGAATACACAAAAATAGTTCGATTTCTCTGCCCTATTGGATTTGGATTTAGTACACAAAGGACCATCCCACCTGATTTTATCAGGACTCAAAGTTGTAAAACATTGCTTTTGCTTTCTAAACCAAGGCCAAGTTCTCATGGTTTTGCCGTTGATGCACTATTATTTTTGTGCACGTTCTACGTTTTTGGCTTTGGGTCAACCTTCTGTCCGGAGTTTTTTTTTTACTATTTCTCAATCTTTACTCTGCTATGACACAATAAATTTTCTTAAGCTACTATGTGCCTAAGATTATCATTAATTATTGATATGAACGATTCTGAAGGCACTATTTTTTGTGAACTTGTTTAAAAAATGTACTATAATATAATTAATAAGTGTTTCTGTTCCCTGAAACCAAAGTTTATGAGTTTAATACTCGTGTTCAAAATTTTGCCAACAATAGCTACTAAAACAAAAATAAAATTTGCTTTAAAAATTAAAAAGTCAAGAAAATCTAACATTTTGTGTGTAACGATATATTCCAAAACCCCAAAAATTTACAGATTTCCCCAATTATTAATTGTACTTTTTATTAATATTTGGTATAATTTTTAAAATGTTTAATAAACGTGATTTGATTTGATTTTACTCCCATGTCACGTAGTAAAATAATGTACTGTACAATAAATAATTATAATACAAAGCTTGAAATTCTATAAAAATAATCGTTGGTCCAGATTTTTCATATGAACAAGTAGGCCAATGATCATAGTGGTCTGAGAAAACACCAAACTTTCTACATCTACCTATTGATATTGTTGATTATTTTATTTTCAAAAAGCTGTACATTAACAACATTTTGTTGTGTAACAATCTCTCAAAGATGCCAGTAGCAGGGATGCAGTATTGCAGTATTGATTGTTTTTTCTGTGGGACGCCTCCCCCAACACAAGTCCCCGATGTGGGTCGTTGGAGGGGGGTGTTAGTCGGGTAGGGGGGGAAGGGGGGCGATGACTCACCGTTTCCACGAGCTGTCTGGCAACATTCAAGGCTATCAAACAAAACACCTCTCTCTCTCTCGCTCTGTCTCTCGCCCCTTCCTCGTAGTGCCGATTTAATTGTTGTGTATGGCGCGTCCCTTCACCCGCCAAATAGTTCCGCGAAACCGAAAACAGCTGATGTCTTCCCACCTTATTACGGGGAAGGGAGCAATTTTTAGCGAACTTCCCTATCCTATAAGTAGCTATTTATTACAGGAGCTTTTTATTCCCGTAGGTGGTGCCGTTACCCGGAATTGGGATGGCTTTGTTTCATTTTTGTGTCCCTAGTGGCCAAAAACGCCATTTGTTAATTTTTGGTCAGTTGTGGTAACTCGAGTAATTTAGCTCTGATTTTTATGAAATTTGGCATGGATGTGGTTGGGAAAATTTGGGTTTCAAGCTTTTTACCCTTTAAAAATGAAAATGCCCGACTCATTAAAACCCCCGAGTAGAGTTAAAATAAAAAATAGTATTGTAAGTAATATAGTCATAGATTAAGTAATTATATTAATTCATCTATGATTGTATACTGCATTGTCGTATGATTAAAGGTACTGAGAAAATTAAAAACTGTACTCCCATGTTATTACATTGGTCTATTAATTGTAGCAATACCTTGTTCTTGAATACAATATACAGGGGAGGAAGTAAAAATTTATTAAAATATTGTTCAAAGTATTTCAGATGTAACAATAGCAGCAATACAACCCACCGAACAAAAACCGTGACGTGTGTAAAATAACCAATTTCTCCAGTTTCAAATCTCCCGCGCTCCCCCTCCACGGCGCAAACGGCACGGCAATGATTCGTGTCCGTCCGCCATTAACTGGGTCACGGCGCCGTCGGCCGTCCTGTCCTGCCACCAGTGCGATCCGTAACGGTTTTATATCGTTTGATAACACCATTTATCGTGATTAGGTAGTGAAGTGTACTAATTCGAGATGGGCGACGATAAAGAAATAGACAGTGAATTACTCATATCGTTGGTACGAGACAGGCCTGCACTATGGGACAAATACGAATCAGCTTATAAAGACAGAACAGCAGTGAAAGAGGCTTGGAAGGAGGTTTGCTGTGGAATGAACGAAGAGTTCGAGGATATGAGGGAACAGGATCAAAATGAATTTCGTAAGTAGTTGCTTTGTTTGACTTTTTCATAGATACTGTGCGAAAAATAATTTTAGGTGAATTGCTCACTTAGGTAAATTCTGTAATTTACTGGTAAACTCGCTAAAAGGTGAAATAATTAATGCTTATCACTATGATAGCGATTTTACCAACACATGACTTTAGATTGGAATCAGATGACCAATAAAATAATTGCAGTCGTGGAAGAAACTTCTAAGTGTGTAAAAGAACCAATGATCAATCTGATTATGACACTTTGCACTTTGAGGCCAATGTTTACATCGTTGTTTGATGTTTGATCAGCGTTTCTGTTTCCACAAGACCAACGACCAAAACAAAAATCCCGCTTACCGGGCCGAGGAAAGACCGTTTGATGGAATGGATGGTCTGGTCAGTCACGTTTTATCCCGCATGGATTTTGTGAAAATCCCGTTACCGGTACCTTCCGGTGAGGTTATAACGTAGACATAGACGTGCCGACGTGCCCATTCCATGTTGATCTAATTATAATACTGTATATCATAGATCTCGTTTAAACTACAATACCGCCATCCATAGACTAATAGACTATGTCTAATCTATGCTGTGGCCTCTGGGGTTAATTTTTATCTTGAAAAATATCAGAGCTTTTAAATTCCGTTTTATCCCGCGCGTGGTCTAAAAATCCCGTTTTCGGGAAAACAATCCCGCGTGTGGACACACAGTGACTGAGCTGAGATCAGCTGTTATATTGTTGACAGATCGTTATTTGATTCGTTATTCTTTTGGAAAAGCCTATGGCAAAATCTTTAAATAATGTTTTCGCTGTTAATTGCATAGAGTTTTAGTGTTATAGTCTTACCGTTGTTTTGAGAAGTATTAAAAAAAGACATGTGTACAAAAATAATAACTGAATTGTTATAGTCTGATGGGGCAGTCAGGGACAGAGCATTCAGGAGCATGTCTTTTATTTTTGGCAGTTACAATGCAGTTACTGAACATTAATTGTCTGTTGTAAAATTAATTATGATCCCTTTTTTTACTCAGATGTTTAGCAAGTTTGTAAAAGATTACAACACTAAAACAACACTACATCAATGATTTTTCCCCAATAGGTTATAATATACAAATATTTGAATAACTACAAAATACAGTACAAAAGTCACTTGCCATTGTTCTTATTTAAGGTAGTTTTTAGCGAAATTCTCCAATGGGAAACACTATATTAGTTTAAATCTTTATATAGGCCTATCCATGATCATGATAACTTGAGTAATTTTGGTCCGATTTTCATGAAATTTGGCTTGTAGGTGTAGGGCGTGATAAACTTGAATGAGTTCGCTGACCAACAACAAAACAGTCTCGCGATTTGAAAAAAGCTATTTTTGAACATTTTGAAACCCCATAATATCTCTTTTCTATGACTCAACGAGTCATAGAAACAAGATATTAAGGGGTTCAAAATGTCAAAAAAAGTTTTTTTTTCAATTGTTTACTCTTGTAACATGGAAAAGCCCGATTTTCAATACAACAATCATTTAGAGCTTAAAAAACAGATAATTTTGTACATTGATGCATTGTTGTAAAACTGAAGAAGGAGAAAATTTAAAAGAAAACTGAACATTTAAGATTCTCATGTTATTCTTATGAAGAAATAGAAAACTATTCTAGTTTGCTTGTTTATGGATATATGTTGATCAAATTTGACATATTTATTTAATCTTTTACTATTAATATTTTGACATAAACACTGTTAACATTCCCCGTAGCAGCAAATCTAAGTACGTGTTAGCCAATATCTAATGCTATTTAAAACTCGAATAAATTAAAATATGTCTGGTTTATGGAAATATTTAAAGTAAAAATCCAATCAGACAGATTGAAATTCGCTTAGTCTGCAGGTTTGCTGCGGCGGGGGTATTTCTACTTCGTTTGGACTAACGATACTTGTTGTTTCTTTAGATAGAGCAATTATAAAAAGATGGGCCAACCTACGAGATGCATACAGCAAAGCGAGGCGAAGAGTGATAGAAAGCAAGAGGAACGGTACGAGAGTGAAAAAATACTGCTACGATGAAGACATGCAATTTTTGAACAAAATCTATGATAAAGAAGGGTTTGATGAAACACAAGAAGAAATTGACCATAGTTTGTTGGAAGTAAAGATCAAGAAAAAGAGGAAACGACCAAATCCTGAAGAAACACCCAGAAAGCCGGAGGAAGATGTTGAAATAATTCCGGTAACCCCATTTGAACCATCACCTCTTAACTCACAATTGTGTTTTTTTCAGGGGATTCTACCCCATTTGAATAACTTTGATGAAAACGAAATATTAGAATTTCAAATGGGAGTTTTACAGCTGATTGCTGGCATTAAAAGTGCAAGGCAAAATGCTTAGTAAATATCTTTGGTGACGTATCATGGATGTCAGTGTCTTACCACTCTTGGCTACCGAGGATAGATTAGTTAAAAATATATTTATATTCTATAGATCTGTACCATAAACAATAAACAATTGTTTGAAAAGACTGTTAACTTTGTTTAGGGTCTAACAAATGTTTATACTCAAACTGAACTCTTTGACTCAAAAAACTTGACCAAATATATCAATTAGTCAGACATAAAGTTCCTATTTTCTAGCTTGGTAGGATATTGATTGAATTTGATTTTGAAAACACTTTTATTGCTGAAAACTGTTTTACCGTGACCGCATTGATTTTATTGTATTTTTTTACTCACTATGACCTGTGCAAACTAGAATAGGCTACATTGTAACTAAAAAATCTTTTAACTATCATATTTAATTTTAATCTTAACAAACTAACCTGTCTCGCACTTTTTTTGTTATCCATTCATCTAATTAAAGCAACTTGGACTAATAAAATCCAGACAAAATATGTGGTCTAACTCTTTGGCAAGAGAAGCGTTGGTCAGGGAAAAAACGGTGTTCATTATTGACTCTGTGTATTTGTATTTATTTATTTCAACGGACATCTCTATTTTACAAAAATTTACTATTTAAACAGATAAACTATTTTAAGTTGAATGCTTACCTAGAATAATAAGTACCGGTACCGTAGTGCAAACAAGGTAATTTAATTTTATCTCAAAGTAATATATTTTGCCCGTTTATAAGTAAATTAATATCATAATTAGTTGAGAATGACACATTGTTTTATCATTCAAAAGTGGCGTCATACGGGTAAATAAATACACCATATATTTATATTTGTTTTATCTTTTAACCTTGTATCCAAGTGATGTAGGCTAAAAGTGTGGTGTACGGATTTATAGTCTGTACGATGGAACCTGTCTCCTTACATCTACCTAGGACTGGCCGTGGTCTTAAAATATTATGGTCAGTCCCCAGGTATATGAATGGTCAGTCAGACTGGTTCCACCATACAGGCTATAGAACATTGGGTGGAGATATTATTTTACGGAGGATGGAAATTTAGCATTTTTATTTTTTAATGGTTTTGAATTAATATGGTTTGGAATGTGTATAGCTGCATATAAAGAATATTTGTCATTTCCTATAAAGCTTTGAATTTATTTTTACTAATTTTTAATTTTCCAAAATTCCTAAGCTGGGCCTAAGCTACAGATTTCTGTAAATATTTAAATGATTGATCACAAATTCTTGCCAATTTTTGGCAAGACTTGTTGATGAACAGGAGCTTGCTTCCTGCCATTTTTTATGTTACCCATTTTACTTATTGTTCTCATATTTGTTTGAACGGATTGTAAAATAAATTCTGATAAAAAAATCTCATAAATCAACAACTACAAATAAATATAATTTTGTTGTCAACTTTTGTTTTAACAACTTTTGTTACTTTAATTATTTTGATGAAGAAAATTAATAGTTTTACTTTTACCCTTGCAATTTGAAATTTTAGCAGGGAATCTTAACAATACATTTTTATGTTTATAACTACAAGACTAATATTTTGTTTATTCTCTGTCACATTAATCACAATGAAAATAGTCTTTTTTATACAAAACTTATGAAGTAAAATACCCATTTGACAATAGTTTTGCAGCAGAATTCATCCAGAACAGAAGATGTTAGTTACCAGGATAAGCCATGGGTTTACGTTTACCTTATGGTTTATGGTTTTGTAATCTTGTATGTTAGACAGAGCACAGAATCACAAAACTCCTTTAATTGGATGGTTTGTATTTTATTTATCCTGTGATTGTTACATATCTGCTTTGCTACCTAAATTAAGATTTTAAAATTGATGGTACTAAGGAAGAAATGAACCCCATCATTGCTATGGTAAGAAAATATTGGTATTAGACATTTAAGAATATTATCAAAGCGTATTATTATTGCATTAGGATATATGATGCCGGACTAAAGGAAGTATAAAATTAATTGAATTAACACATTTTGTAACTGCTTACTGTACTTCCTTTACCATCAATTAAACTCTTTTTACTATTTTTAGGTTATTTTTACCAAATTTATGAGAACATCAATAAACACTGATTCAGTGTGTGATTGTTTTCTTCAGTTTGATTGATATGACATTTAAAGATTCAAAATTGAAGTTTTATAATGCCAACACACCAAAGCAAACAAATTGAAATTAAATTTGATTTAGGGCCTAAGGCAAAGCTGTGTGATTGAATTTGATATAAAAAAAATATAATAACATTACTTTAAAGTGATGTAAATTAATTATTGAGATAAAAAAGTGATCAGGATAGGTATGTAAAATATGGCATTTTTGGTAGGAATGTTCCCATTCCCTTTCTGGACCCTTTAAAAGTACAATTTAATAAAAAGAAAACAAAGAACTTAAATTAACGATAGTATTTCGGGGTTTATTATTCGGTTGAAGGTTAATTAAAAAACGTCATTAAGGTTGGGCCACTATCATAGTACAGTTGATTAAATTTTAAAGACGTTGGCGTTACATTACAAACTTTCATTTTAGATAATATTTTTAATATTTGTTAGAACAGTCAAGCTGCAGTGGTAAGTCACATTAATTACAAAAGGGAAATAGCTTGGATAAACACAAGGGTGTGCATATCTACATACTTTATAACTGAACAGGAACAGGTACTTATTGAAGAAACAGACACAAGCCCAGTTCTTTTACAAACTGAACCCTTAAAAACCGGCCCTGTTTTCAAGAGTTTCCAGAGGTATTGAATTTCCCTTATAGCCCCTATGTACTGAATAAATTAAATTGTTTGCATCTAAGTTACACATGATGGCTGAAAGGTTTGATCATTTTCAAAATGTGACAGCATGAACATGTTATAAGAAAAAAAGTCAGATTTTTGGACCACAGGGGCCGTCCACATATTACCATAGACTAAACCTTAACAAGTAGACTTCTCATCTGATTGTAAATTTTGAAGTTCGTTTTCGTGTCTAGTTCATGTTGGTGAAATTGATCGCTACTGTAGTTTCAACAACATTTTGTTTCTATTTAGGGCTAAGTTAATGATTTTTGCTTTACTGTTTGGACTTCGGGGTGAGTTATTGTTTATGATTATATAGTTGTATTTGGTTAAACAAGGTTTTAAATGTCTGAAATAACAAGAAACAAATTGTAAACAAAACACGACCTCTACAGTACACCGGGTGGAACCAAGTGACTGGTTTTATCTATGGTTTTATCTATGATTATAATTTCTAAGTTATAAAAAATACCCGGAACACGAAACACCGAAAGTACAGTACGACGAGGCATCATGGAATAAATCTATGCCACCATCTTGTTGCATAAAGAAGAAGAAAGTGATCCTGTCAGCTGTCTGCTGTCCTGTGGACTCTCCTGTCACCTGTCACTGTCACTTCACTCTCCTGTCACGCAACTAAATAAAACTGACTCATATGAATGAATATGAATATGATTGGGACAGGTTAGAAGTGTTTACGTTTACAACAGTTCCAACTTTGTCTAAATTCGCTCAAAAATTTAGTCGTTAACCCAGTTAAAACTGTTTGAACTAGCCTAGGCCTAATAAGTTATTTTTCCAGAAATGATTGAATCATGTTCTAAACAACGCATGCTTCTTGGGATCATATGTCTTGGAGGGTAAGTACCTAGATTAGCCTACAATAGGAAACTAGGCTGCATTCTTTTATGTAGTAGTTACAACCATTTAAAGATGATCACCATTCTGTTGTATACTGAGTAGCATAATGAAAAGAGACTCCAACAGTGGATTGGCTCAGTAACAGGTTAGTTCAAGAATCACCTCTTTCAAAGTGGCAATTAGAAATAGCAAACAGCCTGGTAAAAAGGCCACTGTACTCGCTGGTAGTGGTGGGAATCACCGAATGAAAATAACCGAATCAATCGGTTATTGATGCTGATTAGACTAATTCGGTTATTTTATCCTGGTTCGGTTAAATTAGTCTTACCGAGCGATTCGGTGATTTAGTTTGTCACATCTTTAGGAAACTAAAATTTATTCGGCGATGCGTTCGACTAAAAATCACCGATTGACGCTAAAGGACTAAATGCCATTCAATTCCCATAAGATAAAAATTAGTTGTGTTTTGTGACAGTGAATAATGACTAAAATTGATTCGGTGATTCATTCAACTAAAAATAACCGATTGACGCAAAAAATAACTGATTGATTATTCGGTCATGGAAACCATTCGGATATCCCATCACTACTCGCTGGAGGAGCTGAGCGAAGAGCTACTAGAAGTCACTTGAGGAATGAGAGCCCCTAATCCAGGAATGTTTTATTTTCAGCCACAGCCTAGTTTAAGTTTCTTGTAACTTATGTAGGCCTATATAATATGTAAAGTAGTGTTTTAAAATGTAAGCTACATTGACACAATCTGTCCAACATTGTCGTACCATATTCATATTTATTTGAGATGGTCATCGATGAGGATTCAAGTATAAAGTATTAGGTGCATCCAAAGCAATTCAGAGCAACGCTTCACCAAAGCCTACTCAATAGGTCTTTGTTTCGCTGAATGAACTGCCTGACAAATCAATTAAGCTGCTTAACCAAGTCACATCCATCAGCAAAGTTTGATTTGTAAATAAGTTAGCCTAATTATTACCTATTATAGGTCCATATATTATGGCAAGTTTATTATTAATACCCTATGAGATAATTCAAAATAACAGACTTGAGTTATCATAAATTTCCAAATATACAAGTATTGTGTGTAAATGAAGGCTTTCAACATGCTCCAGGCGCTGCCAAGTGAGCTTTTTTAAATGTGACGCCACTGACCAGGGTTACCACCTTTGGTTATGAAAAATCGGGACGGGTACCCTTACATCCCAGATTAACATAGGCATAGGGGTCCAAAGTCGGGACTGTCCTGATAGAATCGTGACGGTTGGCATCAACCTTGCCACTAACTGCCAATTTACAGATACCTTTCACCTAACAAAACAAATCAACTGTTCATCAGCTAAGTTCCAAAAGGCATCTGTAATACAAAACATGTTTTAGGCGACCCAACTGATCCATGTCTTAATCACATCTAGCTTAAAGAAACAAATCTCGTGCCTTGTTTGACATTAATTTACAACACAAGTTAATTTTTTTACAGGTTAACCATTCTGGTGCTGGTAATAGAAAGCAACTGGGCTGTTGGTAACGGAAGAACTATACGAGTAGTCGAGAAGAACGCTTCAGGAGCTGAGTTTTGTTGGCTGACTGAAAACTTTAAAGTTGTCGAGGAGTGTCACCCTTGCACAGGTATGTCAGCTCAGTTTAGTTTTAAATGTAGCCTAATTTATTACTATACAGAACCTAATGAAATTAATTCTACCTTAATCTGGTTTCCAATAAATGTTTTAAAACCAGTTATCTTATTGATTAACCCTAACCCTAAGTACTAGGTCTCCTGGGTACGACCGCCTCGGAATACTATACAGCTAGTTAGTGCCTATCACCATCTTTGAAAATTGCTATCTGCGATGATGCCAAATTGTTAGCAACTAGCCACATTCCACCTAGTATTCCAACGCGGTCGTACCCAGAAGACCTACTGCTTAGTGATTGTGTCAAAGCCTTACTCCCTAACTTATTGATTGTTAAAGTTTTAATGAAATCGAGTTGTTTATGTTAAAATGATTACTACGGACACTTTCACTACCAGTTAGAAATAAAGTATCTGTGAGAGTTGGGGATTCTGATCTTGTTCTGGGGTATATAAAAATATAAGTAGGCCTACACAAACCGAGCTAGTACCGTAACTAGTAACTAGCGACAGTTTCTAGTACAAAAAAGTGTAGGCGATCCCACCGGAATTGATATGACTACACAGCTACAATAATCCCGTAAATAACAGTTGACTTAGTTTTTTTTTATGCTTTTACGCACACAGGTAGTGTGAGACTCCTGAATCTATCACAGACTACTCACTAAAAAACCCCCTCTACTCTGTTGGACACAGACATGGAATTGTTTGTCACATTACTTCAAGTCAGGCCAACAATTGACCTAAGCCCTCAGGGCTCTCACCGTTTTTGGCATTTAGATACTTCATGACCTACACCGCATCCCGGTCAAGGTCGAGCTTCTTGGCGCGGAGAATACCCTGGATGTAATGTGACACACAGGTCCAATTGTCTTCACCCTCCGTCATCATCGGTATGACTGTGTCCACTGACAGCAGTCCTACTAACTGTTGAGCCTCCAGGCGGGGCCTTTATCAACGCTGGCAGTGGAAAAAGGTATGTTCCAAGTCATCGTTAATGCCTGGGCAGTATATGCAATCGGGTGACACTGCTTTGCCCATCTTGAACAGGTACGACCGGAAAAAGCCGTGACCCGTCAGAAATTGGGTGAGGTAGAAGTCCACCTCTCCGCACCGCCGATTAACCCAAGGTTGGACTTGCTGTATCAGTCGCCTGGTCCAGCGTCCCCGAGTCTCCTGTTCCCAGCTCTCCTGCCACAGCTGGTAAGTGCGGGTGTGTTCCTCTGTTCGAGCCTGGTCCTCCCCACGGTGCTGATAAATTGCTTTTCTCTCCGCCGCCAAAAGTTTGACAGGGATGACTCCAGCAACCACCAGGACGACGGGTTCGGACACTGTTCGGTAGGCAGATGCAACTCTTAGTGCTGCCTGCTGCACTCGGGCGAGCCGCATCCTATATACCTCCTTATTGAGAGCGTCTGCCCACACCTCAGCTTGACTTTGTTTATTCGTAATTGTGACACTTGTATCCTGTTAAAAGCCGAATGATTTATTTCAGACTTTGAAATTGCCAGTAAAAGCAACAGAATCTGCAGCGGAACACATTTCAAAGAATCGGTTATCTGTGAAAAGTCAGGCAAAGTGTTTCGAAGGTGAGTTTCTGCTTTGATAATTTCATAGGTTCCTATTTTTGTTTATTGTTGTATGTTTGTATTGTTTTATAGCTTATTTTTGTTTTTATGTTTATTCTTTTTGGATTTTTTAAATTCTTGTAAGGTAACAGACCAAACCCTCTTGTTGAGATTTGATCTTCCTTACCCTTTTTTGATTGCATCACTACCTGATAGCCTAATGCTGAATGGAATCAAATTCTTAATACTATTATCAAGCTTAAACATAATCTCAGGAAATTCTACAAACTATACCATAATCAGTCATATCAATTACCAACGGGTTTATCAATATTATTAATTTTCCACTGTAATGAAAATATTTTTGAAATTCAAGTTGAGATAAAACATTATAAGGATATCTTCTGATAATATGCTATAAATTTTAAATAAGTGGCAAAAAAGTCAAAATATTCTTGACCCAGCTTGAAAGATTAAAGACTAGTTTCAGCCTACGCAGTATCAAATTTGAGCAAAAACTCTTTTAGATCAGTAAAACATTATTTAAATAGTAAAATGATAAATTTATAGTTGTGAACGAGTGACCTGGCTAGAAGAAAAGAAGTTCTGGCAGTTTGAGGGGTTCATGTTCATGGTTGGCTGCTTTTCTACGGTGACAGTCTACCTCAGACAGCGAGTGCTGGACTATCGCACACTCAAACGTATCCACAGACAGATAGCCAATAGTGTCTAACATCCAGAAAAGTGAGTTTAACCATTTCTTGAGCAAATTTCAGTTCCTTTCAGTTTATAGTTTAATTATTTTTCTTAGGTACATCTTCAATCGTGATCGTTATATCGAGGTTCGTTATATCAAGGTTAGACTGTAGTAGGTACCGGTAGTTCTCCATTCATTATGAGGCTTATGGCCGTGTTATACGAGCGCTAATGCACGGCACATTCAACTTTGGTGTTTTGGGGAAACTATATAAATAGTTCAGGTTATATGAGCGGTAGTGTTGTCAGCGAGTCCGTGTTAGCCGAGTTCCCACGAAAAATGTGCTGCGGCATTCAGCGTTTGTATTTACTAGCTAATAGGCTACCATTCCATGTAATAGTTTTCAGTTTAAGGATTACTAGCAAGATTCCACCGATAAACCTAAACGTAATGGCAATCTCTACCAGATGGGAGGAAGGATTTGTGATTTGGAACTTAATTACCCTACATGGAAAGTCCAGGATTTGGTGACATAGTTTTAACAGAGATCTTGACGGATAATTAATTAAGTTCCAAATGATGTAAAATGGATTTAATTTTTTAAAGATGTATGGTTGACACTGGAAAGTACAGTGTATACTAGGGATGTGACGAATCCGAATCTCGAATCCACCAAATCCGAATGTCAAATCTCAAATCCATCGAACCCTAAGAAAAGATTGTGTTTCCATAAAGGTTATTGATATCGTAATAAACACTATTCTGTGTCATTGCCTAACCATAGAGGTTATTGACGTCGTAATATACAGTAACTTACTGTGACATTGCCATTTTAAGAACAGAGTATACTATCGATCAACTTTTTTGTAAATGCATGTGTTTTAAACAAACTGTTAAGTGTAGAGTTGCAGTGATATTATTTCTTCAGACGTTTCAGAAAAAATTATTTCACTAAGGCGAAGTTATTCAGTTTTAGTAGAACCGATACTTGGAGAGATACCAACATAATTGTATGTCCAGATGCCAGAAGTGTTTCTCGAGGTGTGTGAGCTGATCGGAGACGAGGCTGAGGTCCCGGTAGAGTCAGCTGTATGCTTGTTTCTACTCCAGTATCTTCAACATCCCCCTGACGTGGCAGTGACACTCGTACTCACTGAGCGCACTGACCAACCCTCACTGAGTGTCAGTGTGGGACAGTCAGTGCGCTCAGTGACCCCAGACACACTACAGTGCCCAGTGTCTGACTGTTGTCTGCCTGTGTTCACTGCCGGAGGTGACAATTGTGTGGCCGGGCTGTGCGGTGTGCTTAGACAGGTACGTAACTCAAATGTTTGAAGAATTTTTAATGTTTTGGGTGGAATTTAGTTGGCAGGCCTAGTTGAAAATGTTAAATATGAGTTATACAATACTATGTTAGCCAAAATAAAGTGGGACAAGGTCATTTCGGATACCGGTAACCAAAATTTTGGTTGGGAAAAATCTGATTTTGTATGTTCTAAATGAGGAAATAGGACTTGCAGTTCAATCTCCCTAATCTGTCACGTACAGGATCGGGACCATGGTAGGAAAAGTGAAAAGGTTGGATTGTACAAGAAGCACTAAATGACCGAATTAATTGATTACCTGACATTTGTTGATCACCCAAGTATTTCCGTGACCACAGGACATGTTCAATATTTTATCACTTGAGAATGATTATGTAAAATGATTTTTTGCTGTTTTGGTTTGTCTGTATTTTGATTAAAAGGGTTTCAGTTAATTGAGGTTTTACTGTAGTTGTGTCTCGATTATTCATCCTAATCACAAAGGTTGTGTTAGTAAATCTAATCTAGTCATATTATTTTGCTATTAGTTTATAACTTAATGTTTAGCTCAAAAAGTGTTCCAAACAGTTTCAAAAAATCTATTATCTTTCCACTGCATAAAAAGGGCGATTTAAATAATGTTCAGAATTATAGAGGACTTTCTTTTATTGATTGTGTAGCAAAAATATACGCAGGTATTGTTTTTAATAGAATAAATAGTTGGGCAAATGAACGGCAAACTCTGACTGAGTATCAAGCAGGGTTTCGGAAAGGTTACTCGACAGTGGACAATATTTTTAATCTAACAAACATTGTGTCTCTACAAACTGAAGCGCGAAAAGAAAAACTGTTTGCATTTTTTGTAGATTTTGAGTCAGCATTTGATACAATTGACAGGACTGCTTTATTCTACAAGTTATCTTGTTTTGGTATTTCGACTAAATGTTTAAGTGTAATTAAAGATTTGTATACAGGTACTTTAGCTGGAATTAAATGTGAACACGGAGTTACAGGATTTTTTGATACTAATATAGGTTTGAAACAGGGATGTGTTGGATCTCCTTTGTTATCCTCACTTTTTATTAACGACATACCAGACGAGTTAGAGGGGGGTTGTAAGTTTGGAGGTTTGAATGTAAATGTATTGTTGTATGCAGATGACCTTGTATTGTTAGCTCCTACAGCAACAGTCCTCCAAAAAATGATCGCAAATCTAGAGCGTTATTGTGATCTTTGGAACCTAAGAGTGAATTGAAATAAATCTAAAATTATGGTATTCAGAAAAGGAGGGAGGTTACGTGGCAGAGATAAGTGGTTTTATAAAGGGAAACGAATAGAGGTTGTAAATCAATATAAGTATTTGGGAATATTATTAACTACAAAACTGTCGTGGGAAAGTCATTTGCGAGAAAAATCTGTAGCTGCAAAATTTGCCATGAATTCATTGTGGAGAGATTTTTTTAACAATGGAAATGTCCCGTTGAGCTCCAAGGTTTTCGCTTTTAATTCATTGATTAGATCAATAATGTGTTACGGAAGCCAGGTTTGGGGTTTTAAAGAGAGTCAACAGGTTGAGGGAATTTTGAAATTATTTATTAAGAAAATATTTTGCCTTCCAAAGAATGTGCCAAATTATATTTTGCATTTAGAGACAGGAATAGAAAATATGTATTGTTATACCTTAATGTCAAATGTCAGTTATTTAATACAATCTTTGTCGCTCCCAGCGAACAGACTTACAAACTTTTTTGCCAAGCAAGTTATTTTTAAAAACGTAGCCTGGGCTAGAGAATGGAGGAATTTAGGTCAAATGCATGGTATTAACATAGACTTTAATATTGAAGGTTTAGGATCAATGCAGGGTCAGCTGATAAGAGTTGTTGAGTCAGTTAGGACGGCGACCAAACAGACCTGGAATCAAGCCGCGCTGGAATGTCGTTATCACCACATTTATAGATCACTTGACTTAAATCTCTGCCATCGGTCTTATCTTTCAGATAATATTAGTATGAATTTACAACGTTGGATTTTCAAGGCAAGAGCTGAGGCAATAAATCTGAATTATTATAAGCCTTGGATTTTAGAACGAAATTTCCATTGCTCACTTTGTAATTTTCAAGAGGACGAAAACATTTTCCATTTTGTAGGTAGATGCCCGGTTTTGTCTCATATAAGAAAGAAGTATTTTTCTAATCACGTATTGGAGTGGGAAGATTTTTTGAGTTTTATGAATGGGAGGGATTGGCGCGCGTAGGGTGGGTATTTAAAAGAAGCTTGGCATTTTAGGTGGGGATTGATAATCGAATTTAACGTATAAAAATTATTTGAAATTGTCATACTACAGAATTAGATTCAAGGTAAAATTCACTGACTTTAAGACAAGATTTTTTTAGGGTGGGGGTATTGGTTTTAATATATGTATGTGTATGTATTTGTGTGTGTATATATGGATCTATAACATATATTGGGTTGTGAGCCAGCTATTTTATTTTTTAGTTTCATTCGCTTTAATTAAACATTTTTATTTCAGACTTTTTACTTTTGATTTTAGTCCAGAAATTAATTTATAGTTTTAAATTAAAAGTGTAAAAAAAAGTGTATGCCAACCACGTAGACGGTTCTATGAACCATTACGGTTTTAGTGTAAGTCATTGTGGCTTCCTGCGAGGAGCCTAGGTTTGTAAGGAAAATCTTTTGTTCAATAAAGCACTTCTTTCATTCATTCATTCATTCATTCATTCATATTATTTTGCATCAAAATCTTTCTTACTTATTTTTCTTCTTTTCCAGGTTGTGAAGCACAGTGGGGAAGAGTGGAGACACTTGCTGGGGTTTAGAGAAGGTTGTTTGTTTGCTTGCGCAGAGGTGTCATTATGGACAAAGTTTTGTGAAATAGACATTGTACAAGTCGTGAAAGACATTTTAAAAACAGACTTTGCAGGTGAATTTAAAATTCCTGTACACCTGGCGAGATTCGAGGAACACCTTAAACAACCAGTCCGTATGCACAACCTGGGTAAAGTAAAAGTGCAGACGGAAAACAACCGAGACGTCGAACACAAATTCGCAGAAGGCCCGACAATGTCATTGGCCGACTTGATTGTTCTTCCTTGTGTTTATATTGTATATCAAACTATGTCTGGTTTACAGTTCAGTGAATATTTACCGTCGGTTGTAAAGTGGTACGAGTTAGTCATTAATGATCCTTTAGTGGTGAAAGGATTGAGTTGTTTAAAGATTCGGACTCGCTATACTTTATTGAGTTTCATATTGCCAGAAGTTCCACAACAAAGTCTATACAAGAGTGACCCGAAGAGATACAAACCCAAGTTGAGGCAGTTCACACGGCAAGAGGATGTTGAAGAAGCTTTGAGGTAATTTGAAAAACTTTATGAACAGATGAGATTTGAAAAATGTAATGGGAAATGTTTTGTTGGTTACAAGACAAGCTGATAATTACCAATTAATGTAATATGCCTACAGCTAGTTCGGTTTTAATTTGTATTACGGCTTTCAACTATTGTTGGGATTGAACTGGTAATGTTAGGGCGACAAAGTAACAATATAGCCCCCTATTCACATGGAATAAATATCTTTACCCTTAATTATTTTTATACCTCATCAAAAAATGAGTTGCTGTCTTATCTGTATGAAAAATTAGCAAAGCCACTTTAAGTATACTTATCAAAATCGTAAACTGATTTATTACATCATTTTATGTGTTTGGAGATATCACCAGTATTAACTAAAACCTTGATTAACCTTGCATTAGTAGTGATGAACATTGGGTAATTTTCAGGTCAATAGACGGAATAGATCTAGATTTTGACTGCGACTCATCTCCTTTTGGCCACGAGATTGAGTTTGACTGGACAAAAACAATGATTGACATTCAACCTGACGTGCCTCATAATCGTCTAGCAAGGAAACTACAACAGCTGGAGAATTTGGCCAAGGCTGTCATTAAGGTAAGGGATTCCCTAATGTCAAATTTTCCACTATTGAGTTGATTAGTGATGCCGGAAGCGATGGTGACAAGACACGGAATTAGCGTCCACAGAAAACCTTGAAACACACAACATGGAGGAAGTGAAGTACAAAGCGAAGACTTGAGTTATTTTTCTGATGTGTATCACATTCTTTACTGCGAGTTAACATGGTGTGTGAATTTTTGAACAGGTTTTCCTTACCTTATCTCCTGTAACGTTTTGTTCCCTTATCCTTAAGTAACATGAAGTATTTCTGTGTAGGTAGCGAAGCCTGGTGACAAGATTGTAGACTTCTGCTGTGGTAGCGGACACCTTGGTGTGGTGTTGGCTTATTGTCTACCTCAGTGTCATGTTGTTCTACTAGACAACAAGGAACAATCCCTTGACAGAGCCAAGGCCAAGGTACATTCCCTCGGCCTGACCAATCTAACATTCATACAGTCAAACCTGGACTACTTCAAAGGACCGTTTCAGGTACGAATATTCAAGCATGTAATGCTCTTTTACCATTTTACTTTTTAATTTTTTTCTGGTTGAATTTTATAAAGAGTCTGGGGTAAACAGATGGTTGGGTCTGGCCGGGTCAGCAGCTTGCCTAGTCATTGCATAATCAATAACATCTTGTGCCATCGTGAACTTCTTGGGAGGTCTCGATGAAATCTAGAACATCTTATATAGTCTCAGCAATATCGTGAACGTTTTCTTTGGTTACGGCAAACTTATAAACAGACCATGGTCATCGCTACATCATCATTGCAGCCCTTTTTGCAAATCGCAAAAAAAGATGAGCTGAGTTTGGACTCAAAATGATTTCATACTAGGTTAGGCTAAGAATAAAACGATAGTTTTTTTGGCTCAAATAGTGGCTTAGGCTATAATATATGTGAACGATTTGATCGATGTAATACCAGAAAAATTGAAACACAACAACAGATTAAACAACCAAACTGTTAAAAATTGCAATCCACACATTACTCTCAACATTGAAAACTTATTGTTTGTAAATGAATTATGTTTTCAAAACACAGGAAAAATTTGTTCATGCAATAGTTTTCTGTATATCCCTCGGCTAAATGACAGTTGTCTGTTGATTTTCAGATCGGAGCCTCTCTACATGCATGTGGAGTAGCTTCAGACTTAGTTATTGAGACGAGTCTCCAGAGAAAAGCAGCTTTTGTTGTGTGTCCTTGCTGCTATGGATCCTTGCAGGTATAAAAAATATTCTCTTTTGACATACATAAATGTAGAAGTTAAATATACCTCCTTAAAATAATCTAATTAAAAAGTTTTTATTGCACTTCCAACTAGCAAACGAATGGGGAACGGTTTTGCGATAGTGCATCTAAATTTATTGTCACTCTTGGCGCAAAGGTTTTCAACATCTTCATAAGTTTAGGTTTATTTTTATCAGATTTTGAAGAAATCTCTTTGGTTGCACAGTTTTTCATGTACTGTTAAGGTACTTTATTGTGTACCTTACCGTATTGAAATTGGCTTATCAAAATTAGAACATAATACTATGAAAGTGGCTAGATCGTAAGTATAGGATCAAAATATAAAAAAATGTGAAGACACCAGTTAAAAAATGAAAATGACGTCTTGATGACTTGAGGATACTAAATATGGACTCTATATGGATTAACTGTAGGCAATGAATGAATCAACGGTAAAGTGTGACACCGTCTACTTTAAGCTACTGCAACATTCCATGTGGATGTTAAATCAGTAAATGTGTACTTTAATATAAAAATTGAACGTCTAGTATCCATAGTCACAGGGTAACACAAATCAGCTGATCAAACATTTTTTCAGAGTAACCACGTGGTGAGCTACCCGCGGAGCTCGGTGTTGTCTGCGCTGCCGCTGCGTCAATACCTGGTGTTGGGTCACTGCGCAGACCAGACTCACAAACAGACGTACGCCAAGAGTGAGCAGGGCGAGCGCTGCATGCAACTGATAGGTAACTGACAGCTTTGCTTGTTGAGATAGGAAACAGGATTCTATCTAGATTTTGCTTATAAGTTGCGTGTTTATAAATTCGGTAATAAAACAACTTCAGCAAGGTTGGCTCAGCCAGAGAAGTAGGGTACAGAGGAAACATTCAATGGTACACTTAAGTGGTGTCGGCACCAGCAAAGTACAAAACCACCCCCCTCGCCCAAGTGTAAAACTCACGGTGGAGCAAGACAGTATGCCCTGTACGATAGGAATTTCCGCTTGTGCTCGCCACTCAGGCTCCTTGTTTGTTTCTATTATATCTCTGGCACAAAATATCTGAGCTGAAAGTACAAGGTCGTCCCATAAGCAAGATTACTCTGTTCTGTACCTTTCTTTTTTGTGGATGAGCAGAAAAGTCAGATGGTACAGAAATTTGTTTAAACCCAGTGTGATTAAAAATAATAAAATTAATAAAGTTTGTTGATTGGCAAAACCCTTTATAGGCTTTAACCTAAGTTTCGCTCCCAATAAACCACTTCTTTCTTTTATAAATCCATCACCTCAATAAACATAAAACACACACTGGCAAAGTAAGATATAGAAAGGCAGACTTTGAGAAACTGTGGAACACAGAGCAGATCTTTCTACACGCTGAACAAGTTTTTAGGATGAAACTAATTATAATACAGTCTTTAGATTTGTTGGACTATTCCCTGTAAAAGGGTCAAGCTGGTCAAGGTTTCAAATCCCACTAATCAATGGCTTGTGATAATGCCTTGGTCCTATAGGCGTGAAGTAATATGTAAACGATTCCAGGTTAGAGCCAAGCGGCCTAAGATGTAATAGTAGGACATACAACTATCTTTAATGGTAATAACCTCTACTATGTTGTAAATGCCTTCAGCGGAGAAGTTTTTTAATGTTTTCTGTTCAACAGACTCGGACCGGTGTCTTCTAGCCAGAGAGAGTGGTTATCGAGTGTCTCTAGCCAAGCTGATCCCTTCCACTTGCAGTCCTAAGAATAACCTTCTTGTTGGAATACCAGAGACTGCTTCTGTGTCTTAATAAAGTATTTTTTACAAAGTTAAACGTTTGTTGATCCTTTTTTCTGGGTTCCCCCACCACTTTTTTCCTAAATGTACGTTACAGTTGAGGGTTTGATCTTTTTTACCAGCTGTTGTTTCAAAGGAGGGGATGGAATTTCTCTTTAAAACCGCCTAAATTTGTTAAGGGAGTATGACATATGTTAAAATAATATTATCTGGGGGTCCGAAAATGTAATTGTGAAATGCTGTAAAGGTTGTATGCAATCAAATTCCACTCCAATTCGACAGTGGCTCAACAGTTGTGAATTTGTATCACTAATCTTGGCCAAACAATTTGTATAGGCTATCTCATTTTTGTTACTGAAATTGTTGATCAGACATTAGGGATGCTTAGCATTGGTTTAAAAGAAAACAAAATGTCTTAGAAACTATTTTTATTTACAATTTTTACATAACACTGTTCTCCGAGGTGTGCAAAAATATCTAAATTTTCTATGAAACTATAATACTTATAACATAGTAAAATATAAATACCTATAAAATCTGCATACTAAGGTAATGTTTCCTAAGTATTATGAGTGGCGGTGGGGCACACGGGAGGGACTAAGGCTAACATATCTTGTAGTGTCAGCGTTCGCCGCTAGAACCGCTAAGTTGAAAAAAATTATTTTTTTTATTTTTAGTTATAAAATTAACTTTTTAATTAATTATAAAATATTGTTTTAAAATTATAAAATAAATTTTTAATTTTTAAAATAAAACTGTCATAACATAACCTAACCAACCAGACTTGCTGATAATATAAAAACTGTATAAGATAAAAATCTAATGATTACTTATAATTTTTTATTAATTATAAAATTTATTTTAAAAATTAGTATTATAAAATTAAACTGCCATAACCTAAACTAACCAACCAAACATTCTGATATGAAAAATTTGTTGACAAAAAGTTAATACTACCAGCGGGATTTTAACCCGGGACCTCCTGAACACCAAATCGAAACGCTACTAACTATGCCACGAACGCCGCTGAAAACATATGGTTTCGTTACGGTAATCGTGTTGCCTCAAGAGTAGACATTAGCCACTAGAGATATGACGTCACTACACCTTTAACCTTAGTCCCTCCTGTGTGTCTATTCCTTATAAGTGGTTAGTTATTTCACAAATCTTCTACATACAGACAGCAAAATGCAAAATTAAAGTTATTTTACTTAGTGAACAGATCTTGTGACGAGAAAAAATAAATAGAATTACTTAACACAAACCACATTTTTAGAAAAAGATATCTTTTGATTAAGAGTTTTTGCTTTTATATAAATTTAGTGGTACTTTTTGCAACCACAATCTCAGGAAACCAATTTCTTTTTCTTCAAAGAGACACATTGTTTGTATTGCATACAGATTATCGAAGACTTATGCAAAACAAAGCTCTGAAACCTGATAAGAAAATTACTTGGTAATATAGTACTATTTTTAGGAATCAAAAACATTTCAAACATATATTCACAACTCTACAGTTAAAGTTCGTCACATAATAGAATAGTCAACTGAGTTTGATAATAAAAACCCTTTATTTACAAACTATACTGTACACACAGGAATCAAATAATAAATTAACTAAACTACTCGTACACAAAATAAATACAACAAACCCTAAATCTAAACAATAAATAAAGCTTATCACAAAAACAATTAAATGCGGACAGAATTTTGAATCTCCAAAACATCTTTTGTCTTTCATTTGTAAGAAACAATAAAGTACAAATTTGGCTAAATTCAGTTGATCAACTTAAATTAGCTCCAACACTTCATCGAAACTTCATTACAGTACTTAAATTATTAAATTCATTTCCACATTTGTCATGTGCCAGCTCACTTCAAGGATAAACTTTAAAACAAGTCTTTGTTTGACTAGACAAAGTTGTTCTTTCAAACTATCCTCACGTAGAGTCATTGCCTGCACCATCGGTGAAGAACAACAGAAAGTCCGAAGCATTCCTCTCGGTTCCTTTTACATACGAAAGGGGAGTCTTGGAGGTAACCTGGGGTTCCATAGAGTCTTCACGGAGGATGCGGAAGAGCTCGGCTAGACTGGAGAAATTCCTGGCAACAGGAACGATGATCTCGAAGGGCTCCTTGTCTTGGTCCTCTAGGTCGGAGCGGTTTTTTGTTGGAGTTGAACCTTTTGGCGCCACTTCCAGGACAATCGTGTTGTCAGGCGTCTCCCGAAGAGATGCCCCACTGGAGTTGGATATCGTCATCACGAGAGCCACCGCCACTGCGAGTAGAGACAACTGCAAATGAGGAGTAGAATTAGTTTTAAAGTTGTGGAGCCTATTTTGGATTCAGTATAGTATCTTTGATAATTGACTATTGGATACTGAAGTATACATCCTTTATGGACCATTTGTTGCCAATGTTTTATTTAAAAGGAACATAGTTCTGTCAGCCAGACACAGATTGCGCTAATGTCTAATACACTATCTTTACTCTATTTCCTATTTATTTTTTTGTTTCTGGGATAGTTGACGTGACATAAAAGTACCCTATAGCTTACAATAAATCGTGCTATAAGTTTGACTTTGTTAACAAGTTTTTATATTTTTGATAGGAATGAGCAATTTACATCAGTGCAATCTGTCAGTGGCACTTCAACCACGTCCATTTTGATTTAAAAACTGGAAGCAACTTTAACATGGGCAAGGAATGTATAGGTGTATCAATAAAGATATAACTAATTGAGCGAAGCTCACTTTCCCTCACTTTGTAACTTCTTTGTAAGGGCATCAGAATGTAATGGCTTGACCAATTGATATGAAATTTGGCCAACAGCTAAAGAATACTGAGCACAATGTTTTGGTAAAAAGAATTAGCAAATTTGCAAATTTCCTTCTGGATTTTATTTTACGGGTCACGCAATTTCGCTTGTTATTTTAATGTAAGTTGAAAGAAAAATTATTTTGGGTTTATGACATATGGGTTTATCTTGTTTCATTTAAATAAGATAAACATATGATAATTGTTTGTAACTGTTTTGTTTACATTTCAATGTTTACTTTCATCATAGGTTAAAGTTGGAATGTAACAGTTTATCAATGGAAGTAACAGTTTTGCTTTATTTGTTTTGAGCATGCCTCAAAGGCCACGTCGTAATATTGGTCGTCGCACCGATAATGCAAATATTGTAAGAGAGTGGCGTCGTGAACAAGAAGAACCAGATGAAGCAGTGGCGGAAGAAGCTGATAATGATAGGCAGTTAGCTAATCAATTCCAACATGAATTAGATGCACAAAAATGTTACACTTGCGCATTTGTGCAACTGTCATCGCCAACAACTAACAGCTTCAAACCAATCACCGATTTGTTCGCGTTGTCATTCAAATGCAACTAAATTCACGATGTTAAATAATATGGATGTGTCAAGTGTCCCGAACGAATTAACTGACCTGACGATTGTAGAACAAATGTTGATTGCACGAGTACATCCTGCTATGCCCATTTACAAAGTACAAGCAAATGGTCAGGATGACCAGTTTCACTACAAAGGTGCAGTATAAACTATCAGATAAATTTGTCATTCTTTAGAATTGAAATAATATCGGGCAAACAAACGGTGAATCTGTTGAAAGGGAACATATTGAAGGGTGTTAGCTGCTTTAGCCATTGACAATCTTTAAATAATGCTTCGCTCATTTATGCGTCTAAAGTGTAACGGCAGACCACCCTAGTCTAATTTCGTGTTACAGCCGTAGCCAGATGGATTGATTTTAAAAGCCGGCAATTTTTAAAGTTAAAAATTTAATTCACTTAAAAAAATAATTTAAAAACTATATTTAATATAGATTGTTATGAATATGTTTCACCAAAGGATGTTTAAACATGTGTTCTAAAAAAATGCTTCGTATATAAACAAACTACTTCAAGTTTTTGATGATAGTGTTTACAAGAATTTAAATTCATTCTGTTTCATAAATTCCAATTTGTTTATACAGAAAATTAATGCATGGAATGACAACTCTCAGATTAAACTGTATGAATATTACTTAGGTAAAATAGTTTAAGGTGGGTAACTGTCAATATGCGTTAAAACGTTCAAAAATATACAATTTTTATAAATTGCCAATATTTGGAAATTTCCCGGTCCCGAGCCATAAAAATATTCCTGGCAATATTCCCATTTTATAAGTTCTGTCCCACTGGGAATATTCCTGGCCCACATCACTAGCCATTTTACACAAAAAAGGTAATCCTAACAAAGCGTCAATCGATAAAGTAAATAAGTTAGAAAATATAAAAAAAACCCAATAAAAATGCAAAATACAGTAACATTCAGCATATTGTAACCTAAAATATGTGAGATTTTGTTATTTGCAAATATTTGTTTATTAAAAGAATCGATATACTTTATCTGCAAAATGTCAGCTTTTACCGCAGAAAGTATACTAGCCTACTACCGTATTGCTAGTAATGGTATGGTAGTACGTTTTCTGTAATTTTACTTTCATCCCCAATTCATAGAATGCAGAAAGAATAAGTTTCATAAAAAATGCTTGAGTTTGATTTTTGGGTTGATATTTTATGTTTTGGGCCCTGTGAACCCGAAAAGTGGTTTGCGAAGTGACGTCCGTGTCTGTGACTGTCTGTATGTGTGGATGTGTAGAGAGCTACATACCACACCTGAGGTCATATTTTGTATGTGGGTACTAACTCATGGGATCTCTCGGTATTTTTAGAAATTGTTATTATGATGGTGATTTTTACATCAAGTCCATAAATCAACGGAAAAGCCGCATTTCATAAAAACTGCTCCAATAATTTCCTAAAAAAAAGTATGCTATGGCTTTTAAATTTAAACAAAATGGTACAAACCACAACGCTGTAAAAATTACGGTCCAAAAGTTATGGCAACTTTTGTAATTTTAACCATAAAATATCAAGGGTTGTTGAAATGCTAGTGGGAGAAAGTACGGCCAATTTGATGATGCCATTTATGCTAGCGTTTTTTTTTTTGCTTTACCGACTATTTTTTCAATTGATTTCAATTTCAATTGATTGCAATTTTAATTGATTTCAATTTCAATTGATTTCAATTTCAATTGATTTCAATTGATACAGAGTGCTCAAAAAAGGTGGGGACATATTTTACGTAATGATTCCTTGGGTAAAATAAAGAGAAAATCAAGAATAACATTTTTTCCAAAATTGCTTCATTATCCAGTTTAAATAAACATTTTTATCTTTGAAATTTTTCAACCGATCTTTATGAAACTTGGTATGTATGTTAAAGTAAAAGAGGCCCATGTTGAAAAAACATCCATCTTGATTCGACTTAAAATTTTAAAATGGCGGCCATTTTAATTTTTTAAACTTAAATTACCGTACCAAAAAATGACGGATTTTATGAAAAAAAATGTCAAGAATACATTTATTTAGCATTTTTAATTCCCTATCAAACAATACCAAGTTCAAGAAGATCAAATAAGAAATAGCTGATATATTACGATTTTTTGTTGTAAAATGGGGTAGAATAAGGCTAAGCTAGTCAGGTTTGCCCAATTTTACAAATAAAAATCGTAATATTTCAGTAATTTCTTATTCGATCTTTTTGAACCTGGTATCCTATGATAGGAAATTAAAAATGCTAAATAAAAGTATTCTTGGAAGTTTTTCATAAAATGAGCCATTTTTTAGTAATATAATAAAAAAAATTAAAATGGCCGCCATTTTGAAATTTTAAGTCGAATCAAGATGGATTTTTTCTAACATGGGTCTCTTCTACCTTAACATACCGGTACATACCAAGTTTCATAAAGATGGGTTGAAAAAATTCCAAGATAAAAATGTTTATATAAAAAATACAAAATGGTGGATATCTGGTTAACGAAGCGATTTTAGAAAAAATGTTACCTATAGTCTACTTGATTTTCTCTTTATTTTGACCCAAGGAATCACTATGTAAAATATGTCCCCATCTTTATTGAACATCCTGTATTCATGTAATTTCGAAAGCATAAAATACATAGGTACCATGTATTACATTTTTTAGGCTAATCCATTGTGTCCCAAACATGAGGCGTGGAGGTGGAGCATTAAATTAACTAAGCCTTTTGAAATTGTTACCGGTACCGGGTACCGCGGTGGTCTTAGGATCTATTTTGTTTGTTGGTTATTTGATTAGATTACATTAATAGTAAAACTACGCCAATATACAGGGTCCATATTTCAAGGCGAAGATTCAAGTTGAATGAAAATCATTGAATTTTAATTCATTCAATGAATAAGATAATAGTCTTGTTAAAACTGACGAAGATCAGCTGTTTTAAATTTTAGCAACGATCATTTTTTGTAAAGCTCGATGATCAAGGACTGCTAACATACAAACATAAAATAACTTATGAATTTTAAATAGCCTTTTTAAGATATATGTTTTCCGTAACATATTGTACGGCCAAATGCATCAATAGATAAACTAGTTTTGTTGTGTCTTTTGCCTACCCGTTGACTGTAATGAAATTGGGCATTTTCATGTTTTGAGTGTAGAAATAAAAAATCAACAACTTAAAAACCCCTTACCATTACCCAATCCTGCTGGTTCGCGAACTCATTCAAATTTATCCAGCTATTTGTTCATTCCAAATTTCATCACAATCAAAATTACTCGAGTTATCACGCACTTGAAAGACTTGACGGAACAGTGTTTTTGTCGGGGACATTAACAAAGTAAATCGGTCCCAGATCTATAGATCTTTTTGTTCTACCATAGACTAAGGTTCTACCAACTGTAATAGCTTCTTTTCTATAGGGAAATTCGCTAAAAGCAACAAACATTTCATGATCGAATTGGCAACCTTGTTCACAATCACTCAGCTGACTGCGTTAAAACAACCTGAGACGCTCTTCTAAAAATATTCCATTTGGTCTCCACAGTCCATTCAAGTCCGAGATTATCTTCACCAGGAAAGCCCCAGTTCCGCCAAATAAACGTTACACAACGATTATTCTTTGGAATTTCCATTGGAATGACAACAGCACACCCACTTAAGCTGGCATTCCACTAATTTTGTTTACAGTTCAAACCGGACGTTAAAAAACTACTTGGAGGTCTTTGGAATCCCGGGTTAAACCCTCTATTTGCAGAACATTCTCTGATGGATTCCTTCGAGCGGGTGGTTTTGCAAGAGCCCAGAGAAGTTCGATTTTAACAGTTTCCAAACATAAAGTTTAAGTGATTCGAGGATTTTGTTAGTGTGAAAGTTGTTCTACAATGATTTAAAAAGGACTGTCCACAAATTGTGCATTTAGGGTAGCAAAACTTGTTTCCGAGTCAAAACGAATAATACAATTTACATTTCAAAGATTATATTTGTTATTGAGACAGTTATTTGGGTGGAACTACTTGACAATAAATGTAATTTGATGAATTGTTGATCCGAAATTGATGATTAACGAGTGATTTTGCCAACCTTAATCAAGTTTTAAGCTACACAAGGAGACTTCTAATCCCATTGTAAATTTTTTAACTTGTTTTTCGTGTCTAGTTCATGTCCGGGGACACTGCATGCTAGCGTGGACGAAATTTTGTTTCTATTATTTCAGGGTTATTTTCATGATTTGTGCTTTACTTTTATATAACTAGGAGACCAGATGTTTACAGGATGTTACAGGGAAACCCTTATTGTATTAAGTATAGGGATAGATAGATAGATTTATCTATTTATCAATAATCATAGGTGGAAAGGTGTTTGAATCTTGGCACAAATCAGCTGTTCTACCAGCAAAAAACGCACCGCTCATCAATATTTTATTCAATGCTCTACTTTGAAGAATAAGGAAAGATAATCGGAAGTTAACTAATTAATGATAAAGTTCATGCGGAGGAAGATCGGGTAGTCGAAACTTTACTGTATGTAAATATTTGCACTAGTCTGTAGCCGTCTGTAGAAATTAATACAGGGTTTCCTGAACTCTCTACCGACCGTTTAAGGTGTCATAACTAAACTACCACGTTAAAATGTCCAAAACTCAAAAAGGTATCCTTACGGACGCCGTTTTGTTTTTTTTCACAAAACTATTTTTTATTTGATAACGGATTTTTGTAACTTGAAATTATTTTGGTACATAGGTTGTCATCAAACGCAAAGGTGACTTGTATCGAGAAAAAATAAGTTTATAATGTGTGGTTTCAAAACTATGGCCATTTAAATACTGTAAACAGGTATAGGCTAACATAAAAAATGCATAAGTAAATAACATTAATGTTGTGATGTTTTATTTAACAAATTTTATTACAATTCCAACAATATAAGTTTAAAAATATCGGTTTAAAACATGAGGGAGTAAACCCATTTTAAAAATATTGTGTACAATAGTTATTTGTGTAACTAGTGGTGAAAGTGGCACTTTGCTGAACACGAGAGCAATGTTTACGCACGAGCCGCAGGCGAGTGTGGAATGATCTCGAGTGCAGCAAAGGCCTTTTTCACTCGTGTTACACATTATATTTTTCCTACAGTCACTATAAAGCATTTAAATAATTAGTCTTTCAAACACTATGCAACACGTTTTTAGGTTCAGCTGGCAACACAAATGGTGCCCTAGAGAAAGTAGTACCCGCGGTCCATATTACTCCGCTATTTTTCCTCCGCAAGAAATGTGCTCCGCGTTTTGAGAATATAGTTCCGTATGTTTTTGTAATTTGAAGTGGTTTCCGCGCCTAAAAAAAATGCTTAAAAGGTATTTCCTTGTTTATTAAGATCGTAGGAAGGTTTTAAAAACGTTTAAAAGAAAAGTCCAGAAAGTTCAGAAATACCGAAACTATAAACACGAAATGACAGGTTAAATCGTAGTTATAATAGTCAATCAGCTGCTCATAGTATAATTATCTTTAAATGTTGCCAACCTATTTCCAACCGTACACGGATTACGTGCATAATGGAACCACGCTGTTTTGTGTTGTTTCGTTGGAATCCTGATGTGCGGCAAAGTATAAACCGTACGGCAAAGTATAAACCGTACGGCAAAGTATAAATATGCAGCAATTAGCAGCTTTCTGTACTATAAACAGTACAAGGAAGCCAACTTTGTCGGGTGACTGTAGGAAAATAATATTTGTGCTCATTGGATAAGAACATCCCTTATAGTTAGTTAAACAACCAGCTGTTCTAATTAATTGTTAGTTATCCAATGAGTGCAAAGTTTGCTGAACACACTATCTTAAAAATGGGGTTTTTTTTCTCTCTTACTTAAGGACAGATTTGCTTAAATTTGGCATCGTTAGTACTGTAATAAAATTGTCTAAATAAAATATGACTGCAATAGCTTTGTTTACCAATGTAGTCTTTGTTATTTTAGTTAAAACTTTGTAAATGGCCACCATTTCAGTTTAAAATTAAATATAATTAAAATAGTATATTTCATCACTAGGGCGTAAAGTGACTCTTTTCGACCCGAGCTCAAGTTTCACGACTGAGGGTTAAAAGACATTTTTTGCTCGTGTGATAAACTATATTTTTCGTCATATTGCAACATTAGTTAACAAACCAAGTTAGACAACGAAAATATTTTTAATGTAAAGGAAACCTCTCAAAATTACATTAAACCTCTCGAACGGCTTACAAGAATGAAACAAAAAGCTACACCAAGTACCAATTAAATCAATCTATAAAATTTCGATACATGCGAATCCTTACAATCGAACTTTACAACCAAGTTTAAAACAGCTAACTTTTTCTCCCTGGGGATTAAAAATGCATTTTACTCCAAATGGCTGTAAAATAGCTTCTTCAGGGCTGTTTTTGCTGCACTATGGCGAAAAAAAACATTTCTAAAAATATGTACTTGCGTTAATAATCTATGTATACTAAATTTTAATTGGATACAAAAAGCCATTAAATAATAAAAAAATAGTAAAAAGACAAATTCGCGGAGTAGGCCCTACCTTTTATTTATTTCTTATTGCCGTTCTTTTGGGTTTTGGAAATTTTTAACACAATATTTTGGTTTTCCTTTGGTCCAGACTATATAAGGGGCACCATATAAAACAATTCTCATTTGTTTAAGCTGTTAAACAATATTTATTAATTCGTCTATTCACAAATAGGTAAAACCATTAAACCAAAATGTATTGTACAGTATATAGAAAAAAACTATACTTTTAGACATCATCACAATAGTAAAATTTGACTATGTAAATTAAAAATTAATACAGTAAGGCAAAAGAAACTAAAACAAATTCAACTTTACATAGGTACTGTACATCATAGTCAAACTTAAAACCACGAGCAAACAATTAATAATTCTTAACAACATTGCGATGGAAATATTTTATTCCTCATACAGTAGGAGAAACTCGGCCAGACTCGAAAATTTCAAATAAAAAAATAAGTTCAAAAATGAACAGCAAAGTAATAACTCCAAACAAAAATGCAATAATAAAATCTTTAAGAGTATGAAAATAGCAAAAAAATCTAAAACCAAATTTAAATTACCAAGAAAGTATGTTGTGGCCAAACGTTAGCCTAATCAAATAAAACAATTATTATAACAATGCAAACAGATGATTAATTACTTGCTACTGATTGTTACTGTTATTGATTGTTACTCACCAAGTATTTCATGATCAATCTTTGGCTTGACGCGAAGAAAGTTAATTTCACTGATGCACACACACAGACAACCGGACAGTAAATGAAGAGTGAGAGAAGTGTGCGAGAGCTTATAGGAAACAGCCATGACCCCAGCCACCATGGGGAACCCCTCAGCTCAAACAACAACATAGGAAAACCCCGCAAGCTTCTGCAACATTCGCTAGGACACGTTCGCAATACAATACTTATACAGGGTGTCCCGGAACTCTCTACCAATATTTTAGGGCATTGCTCCTGGGTAAGAAACATACCTAAATATCATATTTAAATTGTCCGGAAGTCCTTAGTTACTCACACAGCCGCCATTTTGTTTTTTCCAGTTATTAATTTTTTTCTAAAGAATGGTTAAACATACGAAATGGAAACTTTGTACAAACATTAATGACGACTAGACAAAGCTACAAACAAATTATGAAGATTTTTCAAATTCATAAAACAAAATTGCGACCATTTAAAATGTTGTTTCTTAAATAGCTCAAAAACAGTTGATTTTATAAAAACTTTAAATGGCCGCCATTTTGTTTTATGAATTTGAAAAATCTTCATAATTTTTTTGTAGCTTTGTCTAGTCGTCATTAATGTTTGTGCAAAGTTTTCATTTCGTATGTTTAACCATTCTTTAGAAAAAAATTAATAACTGAAAAAAACAAAATGGCGGCTGTGTGAGTAACTAAGGACTTCCGGACAATTTAAATATGATATTTAGGTATGTTTCTTACCCAGGAGCAATGCCCTAAAATATTGGTAGAGAGTTCCGGGACACCCTGTATAACTCTTGGAACAGCTGTTTGTTTATCTGTCGCTATAGTCTGTATGATGGAACCTTTCATCTACCTGGGGCTAACCAATGGTGCCCTAACTAGGCCCAGGTAGAAGAAGAGACTGGTTCCAAAATACAGACTACATGTATGGGATATTATCTATGCATGTAGTTTAGCTGGGTAGGCAAGTAGTGTTTAGGAGGTTACGAGTTCGAACCTGAGTTCGAAATGAACCAGCTGTTGAATTAATGGTCTTGAAAAGAACCAGCTGATCTTTGTAGCCAACATTAAAATCTTAAATCTTATATTTGCCTTATAATCTGTTTATGATCCATACCGTTCCTGTCATAATACTCGTGGTATAAATTAATCTCCACAATATCAAACACTGTTGCAAACCTTGGCACAGGCCATGTTTGTTTATGCAAAAGATAGGTACGTTCGAGTTTATTCCAAAGAACGTAAAATGAAACGTCAATAAAGATTATTCAAACAGGAGTTAAAGTGTTGTTGTTTTTCTCTATTGAATCGATGTAAAGGTGAATTTTGCATTTTTTTACTTCCATGACATGGGGTGCGTCAAATGTTTGTTAATGACAATACTCAAGAACCTGATTATTTTTGTTGTATTTCAAAGTATGTAAACTTCAACATCAATAAGGATTTAAAACAGGAGATAAAGTGTGTTTGTTTTCTTAATGAAATCGGTGGAAATATAGGAGAATCGAAAAGCTGTTTCACTTACATAACTTGAATCGCTCTATGGGTAGGTTTATGGTGCTTATAGAAACCAAGCCTAAATTATTCTTTTATATTTAGGATTGCAAAGATCTTTGCAAATTACTTCAGATGGGCTAGACAACTATTGGTGATTTGAGGGATTTGAACCAGGGACTTCCGGGACCGAATCCCACTAGACCAACTCGCTCTCATGGACTGGTTTCCACTTATAATTGTAGCTGTATCATTCAACTATACGATTAATTAACTGTAATTTTAACACTGCTTAATTGAACCAGTTATTCAGGTCACAGTGCCAAACATACGTTTACTGTAGTGTAATTTTTAACTTAACTTTCAAGTTTAAAGCATAGCTATTTCGCCAAATGGACAATTGTTTTCAATGAATGATGGACGGACGTGCAACTTGAACACGCGTCTTGATCAATGACATTAGTTTGATCATTGGTTTTGATCTGTAGTTTAATGTTTTCAACCCTAAAAGATTTGTCACCTTTGATCCCTCAAGTTGTGATATCAAAACCACCTGATTTTTTGCGGGTCTGATTTAATTTTGTTTAGTGACTTTTGCCCTGTACTTTTTTGTACTTATGGCAACTAGCTGTTACCCATGGGCTTCACCCCGTTTGACTTCATAAGTATTTGCTTGGTTAAGTTAAGGTGAAATAAACAAAACAGAATACAGTAATACAAACAAATAATCACATATTTTAATACCCCCACCGCAGCAAACCTGCAGACTAAGCGAATTTCCATTTGCCTGATTGGATTTACACTAAAATGTCTCCTTAAAAATATCACATTTATTCCCTATTTAAATAGAATCAGTTTAACACATACTTAGGTTTGCTGCAACAGGGAGGGTAAAAGTGTTTTTTGATGTAAAATGTTAATAGTTAGTAAGAAATAAAAACATTTTCCAAATTTGGGCAAAATATGTTAATAAACAAGCAAACTACAACAGTTTACTTATTCTCCATAAGAATAACATGAGAATTTTAAATTTACAATTTTTCGGAATTTTCTCCGTAACCATTAGGCGCATAATAACGCTTCAATATACTAAATTATTTGTTTTTTTAAGCTCTACAAAATTGTTTGGAAAGAAATTGCAAAATTTTATGTTTTTTTGGGTTAAAAATGGGAAAACCCCATTTTTACCCCATAAAAGCCCCCATAAACCCCCGTTCCCATGGTCCGATCATGCTGGTTCGCGAACTCGTTCGAATAAATGTAGGTTTACACGTTTGTACCAAATTTCATCAAAATAGGATCATTTTTGCTCGAGTTATCGCGCTAACGGACACACACACACATATATATATATATATACTAGCTGTAACCCGCGGGCTTTGCCCCGTTTAACTTCTTAATTTTCAAGATTATCTCGTTCGCATGGCTCAATCACGTCCTGGTTGAAGTTTGTTCGCTACGCTCACTCACCTTTAGGTTGGAGCTCGTTCGCTACGCTCACTCACCTTTAGGTTGGAGCTCGTTCGCTACGCTCACTCACCTTTAGGTTGGAGCTCGTTCGCTGCGCTCACTTGCCTTCAGGTTGAAGTTCGTTCGCTACGCTCACTCACCTTTTGGTTGCAAATTAGCTGTTGTCATAAATGTAAAAGAAATAATAGTGCTGCACCCTGTTGGTAATCCTTGTAACTTTAATGCTATTGAACATCATAGAACAGAACCAACTTGTTTAATTGAAACAGCTGTTAAGATTCAATAATTCCATTTCTCATAAGGTTAACATGGGAAACTCCAGAGCCACTGGGGCGGAGCCCGAAAGGATTTTTGAAATAAGAATATGCCTATATGTTAATCGGGAATGTGAGCTATCATCATGCAAAATTTCAGCCCAATCCGACCAGTATTTTTCGAGTTTACTTTTCCCATACACACATACACACATACAGCAACCACCTCTTTTTTATAATAGTATAGAAGATAGATAGATATATGAATTTGAACGGATGGTGTTTTTGGCCTCTAGGGACCTCAAAACGAAAAAAAAAAATCGGTCCCGGGTCCAGGTCTTACCATGAGTACTACGATAATAGCTTATTCCCTATATGGGCAATTTGCTAATAAGGTAATAAATTGAAAGAATAACAAACAAATAAGTACAGCTGAGGTATTTTTAACATTTGGTATATTGAATGTTCCCTTTAGAAAGCAATTACAACTTTAAAGGGCAATTAATTAAATAATGGATAGTTTTGCGTAAGGTTACCACAATTTTTCAATTAATTCGTCATGACGAACATTTTAAGTATATGGTTCATGGAAGTGTGACTTGTAGTGTTCTCAAAATTTCATGAGTACTTTGGGCTTTATATATGGATAAAAAAATTCTGATTCTGATTCAACACTCGCTGACGTTACCGTTGCATTTGCGATTGTTATTGTTTTCAAACCACAATTGACGTTTTGTTGTCGCCAAGATTTACGTTATAACGTCACTTTTTCCCGGCACGTCGTTACCCTTGAGGTAAACTTTATGCGGATCTTGAGAAGATTTTAATCTCGGTTCGCAGTTACTCGGTGTCATTATTTATATAATTCCAACCGGTTTTCGCTTGATCACTCCTGAGCAACAGATGAGTTTAATACGTCATAAGCGATCTGTTTTGTAAGATGACGTAGTAGTTTTTACTGTGACGTCAAAATGATTCATTCAGAGAAGTCTTATACCGTCACACTCAGTGATGAATTTTCTGCGATGACTTAGAAGTTTCTACTGGCATATCTAACAACGATTCATTTCGAAGAGCTCCTTAAGAAGTTATTAGGTGGAAAATGATATGAGTTGACTCATAGCGCTAATTAATTATGAAGATGTTTTAAGGAATACATTTTGTTATTGAACGAGAAATTAACAGATTGTATTTATTACAACTAAATAAGTTGTATTTATTATTGAAGAATTTTTGAGAAAATATACACACACCTTAATCTTAACTTATAACCTGTACCAAAAGAGATTTTCCGGCGCGTGCTTAAATTATTCCCGTCATCGGCTTCGCCTCGCACGTAAATTTGGTGTTTCTGGGTTCGGTCATAGTTCGGCTTTGCCTCACACAAAAACTTAAGGAAATATCACTTTGGTACTTGTAATTAAATATACTATTTAATCACCACGCAATACTGTTTCTTCGTCTTTATGTTTGCAGCCTTAATGTTTGTAATTGTATTGTTATGAGTATTTGTCATAATGTTTTTAGATTGTTCAACAATTAAAAAAGCTGATGTAAGTTATTAAAATAAATGTTTAGGAAACACGAGTGAGTATTGTGAACAAAAGTAACTGATTGATAAAAAGGGAATAGTTATTTGTGTAGCTAGTGCTATAACCAGTGCAAGGAAGCCCACTTTGTCAGGTAACTATAGGAAAAATTAGTTTATCGTTTTCCCTTGTACTAAATAAGAGCTTGAGAAACTATTATTTTCTTTGATATCAGCTGTCATAGAAATTCAACGATGTAAAGAACTGCTGGATTGCTATG